CACGCATGTAAGAAATATGAAGTGCAGGTTTCTGTAAACTTAGCACTTCTCATTTTCTACATAGAAAGGTCCAATCAGATGTCCCAACAACAGTATATGTTTCGAAGGCCAAAAATGCTTATTTTCATTATTGTACTGTCTAAAGCATTCTTCATGGAGATAATCATGATATGTGATCATGCAGAAATTATTTTGCCTTTTGAAAAAATTGGTCTTAGTTGAAAATATATACATTCTAACTCGCTCAAGTAGTACTAAAACATGCTCTCGTACAATGGTCAATCATAAAAGGTCGCTTAATAAATCATTTAAAATTCCACCAAACTTCTCGATGATTATCTCAGGGTGCTCAATATACTACTCCTTCAAGGCATGCAACCAAATAGATAAATGTGTTACAGAGAAGCATCATCAGTGGGATATAGTACTACACTGACACACAATTCATAGTTTTTTAGTATTGCTGGGTTGGTACAGTATCCCAGTGTTGATGTATATACGGTGGAAGTTTAGGAATGAGTTCACTTCTTTAACAAAATAGGAAAAGTGTGGCCTATAAAATGCAAGAAAGTAAACTGATGGGCAGGGAACCATTATTTAAATTCCCATGGTGAATTTCCTACAAAAGTCTGCCGCGGGAACACACATGACAGAACACAAAAGCCATGTATATAAAATATACAGATAACATGTATGAGAGGAAGTTGTCATCCATACACTTAACTTCGCTATATAAATCATGTCCAGCTCCTCAATAGGCCAAAAGAGGTATGAGAGGAAGTTGTCATCCATACACTTAACTTCGCTATATAAATCATGTCCAGTTCCTCAATAGGCCAAAAGATGTCACTGGATCATAAAGAACTTCTTGAGAGCACATACCATGCCCTCAACAGCAGATCCTTGCAAACTTAACTTCTCCAACATGAATATGTGCATACCTTTGAGTAGTTACCTTCCTTCAGGATCAACGCTTTGAGATCCATTGACTGCTTGTCTTGCCAACTGCTTCCAGTAGTTACCCTCCTGCTAGTAAAAAGATTAAGCCAGACAACCAATATGCTAAGCTTCACAGAGAAACATGATCCAAATACATTGCCATAGAGAAGAAAAAAAACTACAGACAAAAACAATAATCAAAAGAAAATATAGCTTAAAGAGAAAGCACAAACCTTGATACGCAAAACAGCAAACGATAAACAAGCGGCAGTTTAGAAGAGCAGGCAACAACATCACCTGTAAAACAGAAGAACGCAATCGAGTAAGGATGCTCCATTTTTATGTAGTATGTACATATTCATGATTTACAGATGCTGAAGCTAGACCGTAAAGGCTACTTTCTTAATTGCAGTATCACATACCAAAATGGATGCAGTTTTTACATGGAGTAATTAGACTGTTAAAAAGAAAATGTAAATCTAAAGATGCTAGAACATATGAATGTTGTTTAACCTGTAGAATATTGATCCAAGAGCATGCTGTTGGCTCTGCGCCTCTGCCTGCTCTTAAGTAAGGTTTGTGTTTCAATTTCCAAAGGCTTCGGTTTCAGTGTACGATCAATTTGCGTCATCAGCAAAATTATATCAAATTTGCACTTTGTCAGCAGTCTTTAAGAGGCAACTGTTACATGGATGAACTTTACATAATTCAAACAAGCTACTGTTTCTACTTGTCAATACAACGATTTTAAAGAAATTGAAGGTGGGAGGAGAGCAAGTTGAAGAAATTTTAATCCTATGGATGAAACCGAATAGTCGAGAGACCTACCAAGCCATTCCCGAGTAAAGAATTTTGTTGCACACATTCATATCATCTCTATCCTAAGTAGTCTACAAAAGTGTGGGCTCACATGCAGTTAGAAGAAAACGATTATAAGTATTTCCAAACCAGAAAGCCGATGTAATATCTTGTAACAAAAATATATCAAAACCACGCCCGATTTAACCTTCATGATATTTTTATCAAACCATCAAATACACAACAACAAATAAGTACTCCCTCGTTCCAAAATTATTGGCGTGGTTTTAGCTCAAGTAGAAATCACTGAGACACAATTGGTGGATCAAATTTTTAAATGGTGAACCAGCCACCAATCATATTTGTATTTTCCCAATTTCATGCTCTGTAGCGTACATATATGTTCATAAACTGAATAAGGTTAATTACAGGGTCAGTCATCTAATGGTATCCTTATTAGCTTAAATATTTAGAGTGTTATGCTAAAGACCTAACAGTACTCAGTAAAGGTTAATTACAGAAGTAGGTAACAGCAGTAAGAACAATGGGGGCTGGGATCCAGTCATATAGTTCATCAATCTTGATAAAAACAATCCCTCGCAAGAACAAGACCATGTAAATAAAGTGGCGACCAGACTGGGTTGGACTCGAAGAAAATTTAGGAAGCTCAGCAACAGCAAAGCCCCAAGTATGATCTTACCGATATCACATAAGGGTGCTGGAAAATCCAACCGATGGTGGGGTTCTTTTTGCAGGTAAACAACAGCAGCAGGCCAGAAGCTGCTGTGAGGAAATTCAGTACCAGTCAGATACAATGCCCCAAAAGTTTCTACCGTTTCTTAATGCACACTGAAAAACAGACATCAGATGATCATATTAATGCACAATAGAGGATAAGCAGAATAGCAGGGCAAAGCCATACGACTCCGCCATCATGCCGAAGACAGGCCAGCCAATAAGGACCAGGAAAAGTACGACCCCGAAAGCAATTGAACCTTGCACATTAAGGTGATCTTGTTAGCTCATAACTGAACTGGAACTGAACAATTTGGATACATGACTAATTCTAGGCCTGCATTGTTACATGTACAAGACCTTGCGATTCTTGGGCTTTGTGAAGAACTGTATTAGATGGATCCATATCCATAATTATCATTGTATGAACTGCAGTTTTCTTCCAAATCAGCAAGATGGATCCATATCCAGCCCTTCATCCAGCGCAGCAAGATGGATCCATATCCATTGGCGTTGTATGAACCGCAGTTTTCTTCATTAAATCTAGACTGAGAATTGAATAAATTTGCTTCCCTGTACAAGAGAGAGAGATATCAGGGGAAGAGAGAGAGCACGGAAAGGAGCGGGGAAGTACCCGCGCTTGGAGGGGAGGCTGGCCTCGCCAGCGTCCAGCCGTGGGGGTGAGGAGCACGTGGACGACGGCGGCCTCGACCAAAAGAACGGCGGCGGTGACAGATCGGATGGCCTGGGGCTGCCATTGTCAACACCTAGCTTTCCGTCCTCGTCGGGCGGGGAAGCATCGAGCCGCGGCGCTGCTCATGTAGGCACGGCCCGGGGCGACTGGATTCAGGGCATGAAGCTCCTACCCATCCCCTTCCCCGTCGTTCCTCTACCTCCCTTCCTCCTCTCTGCTACTCATGGATCCGCCTGCGTCAGGCTGGGAGGAGAGAGGGAGGAGCCTAGCGGCGTCCCACGCGGGAGGATGCAGAAGGAAAGAGATGGAGGAGGAGTGCGGCGGCTGTGGCGGCTGACGACCGAGGAAGGAAGGAGGAGGAAGGGTGTGGGAGGGAGGCGACCAAAGCCCATCCGATGGCCATTAACAATGCGCACGGGAGGAGCTCCGTGGAGGAGGGTCGGCTAGCATCCAGCCGTTGAGCCCCCAGTAGATTTTTTTTTTCGCCGCCTGGGGGGCTGCCGGCGAAGATTTTGGCTCGGGGATGAAAATCTTTTCAACCGTGTCCACCCCTAAGCCGCCCCGTCCTTTCAGCAGCGCGTCCTCGACGTCTCCGCTGGCCGCTGCTGCCCCCGCCCGCTATGGCCGCCGCTGCTCACGCCCGCGCCCTGTTGCTCGCGTCCGTGGCCCCGCGCCCGCTCGCGCCCATGGCCGCGCCGCCCGCTCGCGCTCTTGGCCGCGCCCGCGCGCGCCCGTGCCTGGCCGCGCGCTCCCTGCTCCGGCGCCCTCCCGTGGCGGTGTTGGAGGAGGGATGGAGTCGTTCGAGCCGACGGAGGACGAGCTGGTGCTGCACTTCCTGCGGCCGCAGCTGTGCGGGTTCTGCTGCCGTGGAGGCAGACCCGAGCGCGGCGCCGCCGTGGGAGCTGCTGGAGCGGCACGGCCTGCTGGGGCGCGGCGGGCTGGGCTACTTCTTCGCGGCGCAGCGGCGCGAGAAGGTGGGCGCGGTGGTGGAGGTGGACCCGGGCGCTGCGCCGGCCGGTGCAAGGAGCAGTGTGCGGCCCGAAGAAAATGTGGTGGAGAGAACGAAAAGAAAGGGCGTGTAAGTGGATGGGACCCGGAGAAAAAGGAAGGAAAGAGAGAGTGGGAGGCTGACTATGAGCCAAGTGCATGCAAAATTTTCTCTCTCCGCCCCCCGATGTACTGGGTTCTGCATGAGTCCCGGTGCTAGTTTTTGCAAAATCCGGCGAAAATCGAGAGTCTGAGGACATGGCTGGGACATATTTTTACTGCCGGCGACTAAAAAGTGGTCCTGGGGGCTTCTTAGGGGGCCTAGTGGAGATGCTCTTATATAGGTTAGAATTCGAATAGACATGTCCATGGTTATGGACAATTTGGAGATTTAATACTTATCATACAAGAAACTATCTTTTCCAGCTTCTCCATAGTTGCATATTTGCTTCACCCAAGATCATGGCATACCGTGAGGTGGAAGTGATATAAAGATCAGTTGTCGATTCAGAGGACTACAAAAGTGACGAGAGATTTACAAAAACTTCAAACAACCTGTGGGTATAACTTTACCACAAGACCTTTCCTGCTGCAGGGCTCCTGGCAAACAACAAACTGGAAGCTGGAAACACAAGAGAAAGCATGCCAATAATTAACCTTTAAGCAGAGGGCTATCGTTACTTTCCAGCAACGGAACTGCCAGACGAATTTCCATGCAGTTCTTATTTCAGGATACAACGACAGTTCATGGCCACAGGAGTTCAGTTTGTGATTAAACAAATAACAAGGAAACAGCAACATGGTCCATTATTATTATCGCCTCTCGCATGAAAACCTAAACCTGTATCTACAAGACACTTGCACAAGCAAAATTTGCCCCAGTGCTTGGTACTATTTCTGCAGACATTCTTCGTCCATGAACCTGACCTTCAACAATAGAATAAACCTCACTGCTTTGCCTACATCAGAATGCAGTTAAGAAAATGTCAACTACGAAGATAAAAATGCAATATTTAAGTTAGGCGTAAACACTGAAGGAAGAAGAATCAACAGAACGGAAGTTTATCGAGTCTTCATTACTCGAATATATTTCTATGGTTTCTTATTTCCCGTTTTGTTGACAGACAAGTAAATACTTCCAGTCATTGCCAAACTACCTTGAGTGTATTTTGAGCATGTATTGACATAATCATTTGATGATTTCTCTTCATGATCTAGTCACATTTTTCATAAAATGTCACCTGCCCCTCAAAGCAACCAATCATAATTTCGAATTACAACAACAGCAAGGATGAGAAAGTAGCATATTCATAATTTAAGCTACCTCTGCACCTCTATGGTCATAGGAGAGCCACATAATTGTATGCACAAGATTGAGTGGTGAAAAATATTAAATGCTACATACACGGAGCTCTAACCTGTCCTAGTCCAGCAAAAGAAAGGTTTATTTCAGTTGATACAAGGGAAGGACAATCAGAAGGAAATCTTAAAGCAACCAAATTTACCTGAGAGTACAGGAATGTGCCAAAGATGGCAATGGCAGCTCCTAGTGCATTTACAGGGCGGACAGGTGTACGGAAGATAATGATTGACGAAACAATAACTGATATGCGCTTCATTGTATTGCCAATGCTAAACGTCAATGGAGAAATCTGGTCCAAAGACATGTAGGACACCTGGTTATACAAGTGGTAGAAAACGCTCTGTGCACCAATCCACCTACATGAGCGAACATTTACAACATCAGAAAACTGTCAATGCAAAGAAAAGTAGTATGCGATATATGTTCGGGTACAAATGCGCATAAATCCTGGTCACCTCCAACACAACATGTTGAATTGTTGACAAAGACTCCCAACAGAATATGTCAAGAGAATTAAAAGGCTATAAGCAACAGTGCTGCTAATGAGTTATAAATGTATCAAAAATGTTGAAGTATGTCTTTAAATGGTGTGAATATGGAGATCATTTCAAGTTTCCACATGAAATTTAAGTACAAATCACAGCACATGGTATAAATGTAGAAGAAAAGTGAATTCTTGATTTTTCCTGCTTACCAGAGAACGTTGGGGCCAACATCTGCAAGAGCCTTTTGCCATCCAGTGGCCCACATTTGGGGGCCTTCCATAGCAATAGCAAATGGTGTGAGTATGACCAGGGACATAATTGAAAGGCAAGCGTAGTAATTCATGCCACTGACAGACTTCCCTTTCATGCCCCGCTTCGAAAAGATGTTGCGGAAAACAAATGCAAGGTTCGATATCATGGCACCCATAAATCCTGGTGGGAGGATAAGGCTATTAGCATCATGGAAGGAGTACATCAGAATAGCTGCCTCCCCTAACCAGTGCAAGACCAATCAAGAATTGCAAAGTTGCCTATGCAGCTATAGCCTCTATTTTGTCTGGTGTCAAACTTCACGAAAAAAAGGTTTTAAGCTGTATCTTCTTGTGTTAAGGAGAATGCACTAGCCACAGTTTATATGTAACCATTCACCTAATTTACACAAAGTTATAAAAGATTATATGTATGATTACTTTACTGTTTATTCATTTCCATAAGTTTCAAATCTAAAGCACATAGTTCTTGAAGCTCACTTGAATCCAGATAGAGTAAATAATCATTTAGCAAGTCTTTTCAGTTTTATGTCAAAAAACATTAGGAATGTCGATTATTTAACCAATTAAGAATTGTCACCTCAGTTAACTCACAGAAACTGCTTCTTTGTATCTATGAACAACATGACTATAATGGTTAGAAGCAAAAGGCACATCAATTTCTCGACAACCAATAGGGAGAGGATACAAGAGAAACAACTTAGGAGGATTTTACTTAATTATACTCACCAATCATATTAAAGTTCAGCTCTGTCGCAGCAGCTAGACCACAACCACCAATGATCGGGAGAAGAGAAAGATATACAGGCATCGGAAATGACTCTCCGAGAATGAACCTTGACACCAAAACACTGAATGCAGGCTCAGCACTCTTGATAATGTGTGTGAATGACACTGCCACCTTTGACATGCTCACTGTGGCAGCAACATGTCCAATTGTATGAGCCACAGCAACCTTCATCAATGCAAACAACAAATACGATTCATGATTTCCATCAACAGATAAAATAGTTGCCACAGAACGAACGAACTCACCGGGAAAAGTGCTTTCCAGAAATCCAAGTCAGTCTTGGGGGCCTCAACTAGGCAGGTGACCCATGAGAAGAGCATCATCGCTGAGCCGCAGGCGAGGGATAGTGTGGAGGTGAGCCAGGGATACGGGAAAGCATTGAGAACCTTCTTGTTATAGATGTTAAAGATTACATTAAGCGCCCACCAAGTCGCAAAATAGATTGAAATCTTCAACTTTTGTGCTGCTTCTGAGCTGGCTGGCAACACCTCAGCCTTTGACTCCTTGTCATCAGCCGCTGAAGCTGCACACCGGAAGTCAAGCAGCTGCCTCCGAGGCTTCAGCTCGGAAGTGTGTGGGTCATCTAGCCATGTGAGGTAGAGTGGTCTAAGGGAGCAGGACGCAAATTTTTTCATGTTGAGAATGGACACCGACGGAACAAAAGCTGATTTAGACCGTTGATTGGTGACAGAGAAGGCGGCCGGAGAGAGCTTCACAGCAGGTATCATGGCTCCTGCAGATCAACCAAAAAACATTCATAAAGGAATAACAGATAGCAAGTGACATACAAACTGAACAAAGAGCTGCTAAAAAAATATGATGTTCCTTTTCAGTGAGACCTCCATTGAGCTGATCAAAAAATATGATGTTCCTTTTCAGTGAGACCTCCATTGAGGTGATCAAGAAAATGACATGGGACAACTTCCCCCAAAACAATCTTGAAAATATTTACTCCAGTTTTATTGATGCAAGCTTTCCTTGAGATTATTATCGAATGAATGCATCATCCAAGCATGATCCAACCAGTTACATCTCTTGTCAGCACTATGCAATTCGTGCACGCCACAGACTGGGGATTTTTTGTCAGATAAGACCACGTACGCTTTCATATTGACAGAAAGAACCATCTGCGATCCGTACTGACAAAAAAGACCATTTACGGCGTGGCGGCAGACCTGGCAGCCGACAAGTGGCACCTACCACCACAGTGGGCGGCGGCAAGACCTGCCGCCACAGCCGCCGCCGGCAGCTCGGCTGCAACAGAAATTTCCGGTCTGCAGCGGAATAGGACGCACTGGTGGCCCTGCCGCCCCTCCCGATGGCGGCAGCTCCTTATCTGACAAAAATTCCCCTCGCAGTACCCGCATGCACCTGCCCGCCTGCACTCGAACAAATTTAGAAGGGGCTTACGTAGTACATATCCATGAAACGTCGCGATACAAAGAGTGCACGCAGTCACTTAACACTACCATTACAAAGTCGTGATGGTACGTGCATGATGATCACCTTAGGCTAGACATTGCTATACTACTACTTGACGTGCACACCGGCCGATTCATCTAGGGTGCGTTTGGTTGCAAGGGCGGTCATGAATGGGTTGGGATCGTTCAAAAAATAAACATGTTTGGTTATAAAGCACATGAATGGTTCGAACCAAAAAAAGAAAATATGCCATGAAGATGCTGAACCGTTCCACCTCCTAAATAATTAGCTCACCACTTATATTCAGCCAAACACATGAATTGAATGGTTCAATCCCAAAAAAATTGAACGGTCCCAACCCATTCGTACGACACCTTCAACCAAACGCATCGTGACAGAAAGGAGCACTTGTAATCGTTCACATGCATGCTATCGTGAGCAGCAGGAAAACGAGCAGCAGCCATCAGGAGTGGCAGCAGGGCCCACCAGCGTTTCACCGTTCCGTTGCAGACCCGGATTTCTATTGCAACCGAGCTGCAGCCGTCGGCTGTGGCGGCAGGTGCCACATGTTGGCTGCCGAACCTGCCGCCACGGCATAGGTGATTTTTTTGTCAATACGGATCACAGATGGTCTTTTCTGTCTATACGAAAACGTAGGTGGTCTTATGTGACAAAAATTCCAGACTGGGAGCTATATGAGCTTGGTCACTGGAAAATCCCCAAAGGCTAAAACGCAAGGTCAAAGGTGTACATGAGGACAAATTGTGCATAAGCACATCGTTTTCGCCCAGTAATCTACACGTAAGGGTGTCGCCTTTCACCCCTTTGCACAAGCTCCAACTCTCACGGTCGTCTAACTGGGCAGATTTCGCATCCATTTATGAAATATAGAACAGAGAAGCCAGAGGCTGCGGCTTGCAGGAGAGGGGGGGTGGTACGGGGGAGGCGACGAGTTGGCGGTGCGGGAGGTACAGCGGCGAGGCGCCGACCGCGGATGATGGTTGGCAGCTGGGTGAGAGAGATGGGTGATACGGCGACGGATCATAAAGCGGTGTTGCAGGTTAATTATTTTATTTTTACAGGATCGACAGAACAAACCTCTGCAAGATCTCACCTTTCTTCCCGCCCAAGAAGACTTGCTCGGATCAATAAAGTCTTCTTCTCAAATCGCGGCAAGAAGAGGTAAAAGCGGCGCCTCTGCGACGAAGGATTCGAGGACGGCAGAGGCAGGTGGGGATAGCTGGGGATCAAGATCGAACCTGGGAATCTGAGACGGGAACCCGGAGACCACAAGGAGAGAGAGGGGGATTGCTCGAGGCAGGACGGAGGTAGGGAGTTCAGTTCCTTCGACGAGTATAAAGGCAAAGGGAAGGGGGAAGGTGGCGGCTGGGGAGGGGGCCAGGGAGGTTAGGTGCCGTGTGGCTCTTTGTTAGATTGTACAAATGCCAGGGGCTTCTTCTCCAAGGAGACGAGCCATGGTAATTTGGAGTTTTTTCTTGGATGGGGGTGGGTTTTTTTCGAGAGTACACAAGAGTGTGCCGTATTTTTATAGAAGAGAGAAATATTGATTACAAGAGACCTCTAGAGTATTGCATCCTGCTGCAGTGCACATGATAGGTGGGGTTGGATCCACATGGCAGTGAATGTACTGCACCATATGCTAAGGATCCTAGGGAGGGGAGTGGTGGCGCGTATTGATTTCAGATACAGATTATATAAAGGATTTGACAATTCTTAACACATAAGTTGCCTCGCTTTCACGCATACGACAGTGACCTCCTGTATAATCTACTTTACAACAAGCAAATTTTTGGCTCGAAAGATGAACATCTATGTAGAAAGAAGCTGCATAATTGTGATCTTTTTTTTGCGGGGCACAATTATGAGCTTTCACATTAAGTTTCCTAGAAATATGGAAGACCTGAGCTTGAATGTTGATTGTTGCAGCAAAATATTTTGCTAGTGTCCAGGGACTTGAAGAAGATTTTTTGACGCCACTGCATGAGCTAATGTCAAATTATTCGCTAGGAAAGTGATTTTGATGTTGACGATGTGTGAAGCAATTTCCGGGACAACATATAAAGTTGTAGCCTCCGCCTCTAGTGGAGTTTTGACACTTTTAGCTGCTGCGGAGATTAAGATACATATTCCTTACTTATTCTCGGCAGTGTGGATGTAAATTCCTATTCCTATTTTCCTTGAGTTGTTTTTGGAGTTAGTAGTGTACTTCTTCCATGCAGCATCGGTATAAACCTTGGAACCTGTAATCCAAGCATCTGTTTTTAGTGAGCATCCCTGCTTTTGATTGTGTGCAGATTCTATCCTTGTTTCCTGCTTTATTTTTGTTGGTAAACCTGCAATGTCTGCACAAGATAGTAAATCTTGCCCATTTATTATTGCTTACATAGGAGAGTTTGATTTTCTACCAAAACGTTTTCATTCCTGAACTTCCAAATACACCAAAGAATAGTGATTATGTTATTGAGAGAGGCATGAGGGTGATGGGAGGTTAACAAAGCCTGGATAAATAGCAGGTATTCAATAAAAGTTCTGCGCAAAGAATTCATACCTAATATTCCAAGGTTCAGAGAACCAAGCAGTTTTAGCAAAAGGACGAGTGAAGAATAGGTGTATGTCATTTTCTTCCTGATCACATCTTACACAATGTTTTATAATATGAGAAGAAATTTTACCTGCCCTCGTACCTGTTGGAATTGCTCTCCTAAGAAGCCTCCATGCAAAATTTTGTACTCTAGGTACCATCTCATTTGTTCTCCAAGTCTGTTTTAAAATTTGCTTTACACATGTAGGTACCTGTCTGGGTGTAGGCTCTCCATGTTCCTGCATATCCTGTAGGCAAGTCCTATATGCAGATTCGGATGTACATTTTCCTGAATTATGTAGCTTCCAACATAAGATGTTAGTGCCTCCTAACTGAATTATTGGAACCTGCATAACGATGTTAGATGCCCGCTCATCAAAGGGTGTGCAGATAAGATTAGTGTTCCAAGATTTTTGGTTAGGCGGCCATAGATCTTTAAATTGCGAAGGATAAATGAAGTGCCCATGTGTTGTAGGGTGAAACCCTAGGTGGGATCTTTTCACACTTGAAGGGGGGAAAGGGAAGAACACGCAAGAACACAAGGGAGGAATCACTCGAACAAACACAAATCACACATTCACTAGAGTAGCATACATGAGATCCACAAGAATACAAGAACAATTCAAGGAAAATAGCACTAGGGTAAAGTTCTTCCCACTCCCAAGGAGGTGAGGTCTTGGTGATGATCTTCTCCAAGAGGAGGCCTTGATAATCCACAAAGGATCTTCCCTAGAGAGGGGTCTTGACCTCCAATAGGAGAGAAGATGAGCAAAGCTCTCTCAATGTCTATCCAATACTTTGTTAGCCCCAAAAATGAGCTAGATGAGGAGTACTTATTGGCTAGGGACAAATTGGGGGTAAAACAAGGGTACATGGGTAAATTATCCCGAAATGTATGTAGCCACGGTGGAGGGTTCGGGCACCCGAGGTCAAGGGGTCCGGGCACCCGGGGGTCACCGAGAGACGGAGGGCCGGGCACCTAGGGCACGCCTGGGGAGGGGGGCAGGGTACCCAGGGGTGTGAGGCCTGGGTCCCGGGCACCCGGGGTGTCCAGGGGGCCGCCCTTGGCTGTTGTAGAGGGTCAGGCACCCAGGGGCTGAGGGTCGGAGCACCCGGGGTGGGCGGAGGAGCGCCCAAGCAGGGGGGCTGGGCACCCGAGGCGGCCAAGGTCGGCACCCAGGGCGGCCAAGGCCAGCGTCTAGACAGGGGCTGGGCACTCGGGGTGTCGAGGGACGGCTCCCAGCCGGCAGCCGGGCATCCGGGGCTGCATGTGTCCGGGCACCCGGGGTAGTCCGGGACTTCTGCTTCTTCGTGCTTCGCGTGTCCTTCCTCCTCCTTCGCCATGTGTACTTGGGTCTCGCTCCTAGCTTCTTCATGGACTTCTCCGTGGTACCTCAGAATGCATAAGCTTTCCATTTGAGGTAGAATCCAACTCTCATGTGAATCCGAATGAAGCTCGAAGAGGAAAGAGTTAACCTCGGTTTCGATGGCACGTGCGCAAGATCTTGTCACTAGTCCTCCTCGTGGTGCTTGATGGGTTGTAGTAGAGTCCATGGGGATGATGTAGGGATGCTCCGCATCATCTCCCCCCCCCCTTGGGAGAGATCCGTCCATGGATCGTGATCTTCATCACCATGGTATTGGGTCAAGTCCTTGACGTTGAAGATGTTGGCGTCGCACATCGTATATGCCTTCACATGACCAAGTTGTCTCGTGACGGTATCGCCTTGTGAATCCTTCAAAATGAAAGAACATGACAAGCACTCGGAAAAACAAATGAGGTTGGCGAAATTGCAAAACCTATTCGTGTGGTGAGTTACCCCACAAGTGTTTTCATCATACTTGTCATAAGAAAGGACAAGGGGGT